TGCCCCTCTCCGGAGCCCAGCCCTGCCCCCCACTGCCCCATCCGCCCCACCCCCAGCCTCGCTCCTGGGTGAGCAAGGGGGGAATCAGCCCCAGCTGGCTGGAGCACAGGCGTGGGAGGCTGGGGCAATGCACCGCCCCTGCCTTCCCTAGGTCCATGAAGGACCGCGGGGGCTGCATTCGCACCCTTCGCATACGGGCCTGCTTGCCAGGGGCATCGCACGGAGGCTACTGGTGAGGCCCAATGTTGGGGCTTGGCTAAGGCCCCCTCCCAATCCCACAGCGGCACCCGGTAACAACTTGCCTCCCACCTTGGGTGGGGTGCTGGGAAGCTGCCGCCCGTCACCACCTCGGCCCAGGCGGGACAGCCAGGCCAGCAGCCCCGCGGTTGGGAACCACAGGTTTCCCCTCCGAAGAGGGCAGCACGCCATGGCTGCCCTGCTGCGAGGCCTTTCCAAACAGCCACACACCCAAGTGAGGCCGGAGAAGCTGAAATGAATGGGAGCGCGTTCTGGGGTTTTCCTCCGCGCTAGGGAAGCTTCCTGTTGGATCCCCCGAAAAGAGGAAGCGAGCCCTTATTTTCCCCAAAGTTGTGAAAATTCAACAGGCTTTGGACTCATAGACTTTAAGGTCAGAAGGGACCATTCTGATCATCTAGTCTGACCCCTGCACAGGGCAGGCCACAGAATCTCACCCACCCCTCCTAGAATAGTCCTCTCACCTATATCTCAGATATTGAAGTTCTCAAAGGGTTTAAGGACCCCAAGATGCAGAGAATCCTCCCGCTAGTGACCCGTGCTCCATGCTACAGAGGAAGGCGAAAAACCTTCAGGGCCTCTGCCAATCTACCCTGGAGAGATCAGCTGAGGACCAAACTCAGCCTGGGCTTCCCCCCATGAAACCAACTCCCCTGGGGAGAAACCAGTTCAGAATTTGCCCCTTGCCATCACTAAGTGGAGAACAAGCAGCTTTCCAGCGTGTGCTGCAGCGAGGGCTTTACCTCCCTGCCTACTGGAATGGCACAGGCCTGGTGTTGAGAACGCAGGCGGCCCGGAAAGGGAGCAGTAGCTACTAGCGCCTAAGGCTGCATGGACAGAAACATACAAGCATTAGTGTCAAAGAAACTGAGGCTAAAAACGTCCATGGGGTAAAGCGACTGCTGTTCGGAAAGGAGCGCAGAGGGCCGAGGTAGGGCAGGTCTCTGACTCTGGGTTACGGCAGGAGGAGGAGCGGACTGGTCAGTAGAAACGGCAACACAGGGAGAAGCAGGAGCCTGCAAA